TAAATGATTTCATTGGATTCATCAAAAAAGTACAAGATCAAGTTTGTTGGCCTAGATAAATCTGAGGCTGTATAGGGGCCTATTCCAAAAATAAATGTGTCAATCATTTTCCATGACGGCCTCTACATATTCTGGGTCGTACCATGGATGGACCTCTTTGTCCAAACCACAAGCATGGCGAAGACGGTAATAAAAGAATCGAGCCATCATGTCGCTTAAGATACTGTGTTCGTGCCAAAGCTGGGCATCCACTGACGATGTGCAGGACAGTCTCATTAAATTAATTGCATAATCTACATTTCATATTTACATTTTGATGCAAAATCACACATTGACGGTTTCGAGTGGGAAGTGACTGGTCTTTAGCAGCGAACAGAAAACCTTCTGTTTCACTTTTTAGGCCAGTCGACTTCATCCAAGCGAAGGACTCTGCAAGGTTGCTGACCATCTCAACACACTGCACATAGGCTGAATTCAGTGGTCGTACAGAGAGCCTTCCCGTGAAAAACCGAACCTGTTATTGTGATTATGATAATTTGTGTTGTTGCTGTTGTTGTAACAATAGTCTAATCATCCCCCGGTCAGTATTCGACGAGAGTTAAACGAATTAGACAGAGGGTGGCCATGAGATCCCCTGTACTGTATGAACACCTGCCGGCGGTTTCCTTTAGTTCTGCGTTGTTACGTCATTTGGTACCAGATGTTTGTCGAGAAAAAACGGACACCAGCAGTTCTTTGAGAGATTTTTTGTCCTTCGTTCCCGAAATACAATATGTCATTGGTGATCGGTAATTGGAGGAAGCTAACGAGGCGCTAGTTGGAAAGTAGCTGCGATAATGGAGTTAATAGTTTATAAAGTATTTAAGTGCCGTAGAGAGGCGGAAATGACGTAAATAGCGCCACCTGGTGTGAGTGACAATTATAAGGGTCCGGGCAAGGGCGACTATCTGATGTTCCAATGGGTTGCTGTAAATGTACATAGTAAGTGGTTCAACAAACCTACTCTAAACCCATCACTTGATTTAAATAATGGTTATCATGGTAGCAATTATGGAATGGTTCTAATCTTAGAATGGCGTGTTTCAATGTTTCCATAAAATAATGTTTTGTTTTAAAGAACTTAAATTTAATGTTTCGTTCATTATATTCCACTTTCCTAGCTAATATATTCTATAGTACAGATCTACGGGGCTTATGTCGTATGCTACTCGTCTAACGAACCAGCTGAGTCTTTGTTAGTTTGTTTGTTTGTTTATTTCTTTAACGCCGCACTTAGCAATATTTCAGCTATATGACGGCGGTCTGTAAATAATCGAGCCTGGACCAGACAATCCAGTGATTGACATCATGAACATCGATCCACGCAACTGGGATACGATGACATGAATCAACCAAGTCAGCGAGCCTGACTACCCGATCCCATTAGTCGCCTCTTACGACAAGCATAGTTACTTTTTACGGCAAGCATGGGTTGCTGAAGACCAATTCTACCCCGGATCTTCAGGGTTTCTTCATGCACCACATGAGCTGCCACGCTCTGAATGGGTAGGTTAAGTGGGTACATCATGTTAATAAACGAAATATAGCTTAGGGGTATGTAGTTAAAGGGTCTCTCGGGGTAGGGTATTGTATAGTGACGTCATATTAGATGGCGTGTACAGGTTAGGCGGTAGGGCTTATCCTGTGGGTACGTCATGTTAGATGGCGTGTACAGGTAAGACGGTAGGGCTAATCCTGTAGGTACGTCATGTTAGATGGCGTGTACAGGTTAGACGGTAGGGCGAATCCAGTTGGTACGTCATATTAGATAGCGTGTACATGTTAGGCGGTAGGGCTAATCCAGTTGGTACGTCATATTAGATGACGTGTACAGGTTAGGCGGTAGGGCCAATCCAGTTGGTACGTCATATTAGATGGCGTGATGGGAACGTCACGTTGATGGGGTTTGAAGTTTAGGTGGTAGGGTTGATCTGTAGGAAATGTTGGAGAAAGGATGCGGTGATCAGGCGAGTACTTAGGGCATTGTATGTGTACAGGGGTTGATAAGGTAGGAGCACTAAGATCTTTTACACTATCGATGCTACAAGAATTACTTATACGTTTTACACCTGGTTCCAGTTACAAAATATATACTGCTAGACAAAGATACAGCGCAATGGAGCCCATCGTGTCATGCGATCTCTCTACATCATGAAATATAGATGCAGCCCCACCTCCGATGCCGAGAAGGGAAACTTGGTTTGTGTGGCAGTAAGCCGCCATAATCCTGCCATTTCCTCCTTAATTAACAATCTGTCCAGGGAAGGATACAATTAAATTAATGCCCACCTACCCAAAACATACCTCCATGGCAAGGACAGAGCATACACCAGCTGTAACGTAGTCCCTCATTTGTCATTAGGGATTCATTACTCAGTTGCTGCCATGATTAATTAGGCATTGACTTGCAGAATATTTTATTTGAAATTAGTCAATCAGAGCATAACACGGCTCCTAATTATCGTTTAAGTCCATCACGACACAAGTAGTTATGGTAGACTCAACATGAAACCAATAAAAGTGATGTGTTCGTTTATAAAGTTTTTCACGACACGGGTGGACGGGTGGCCTAGTGGTTAAAGCCTTCGCCCGCCACGCCGAAGACCCGGGTTCGATTCCCCAAATGGGTACAATGTGTGAAGCCTATTCTGGTGTTCCCCGCAGTGATATTGGTGGAATACTGCTCAAAACGGTGTAAAACCATACTCACTCACTCATGCACGCACTTTCACGAGTAGTTAATAGAGACTCCACATTAAAATGTGTGATGTGTTCGTTTATAAAGTTCATTTCAACACAAGCCCTCATGAGTGGCTCAACATTAAAACTGCCTATACCGGTCCAGCCATGTGTGACACTGAAGGTCTGAGGCAGTAGATACGTGTTGAAGTACTGTGTCACCATGCTCCTTTTGATGTCAAACTGTCGATTCGGTCTCGGCTGTATCAAAGAGGAAAACGTTACTCGATTCGAGCAGCTTCTTTCGTCGCTTCGTGCCGCGTGCCGTTGCTAATGAACGTTCGTGCGCTGTCTTGTCTGATGACGACGAGACCCACTTTAATTCATCTGGATGAGCGACTATAACCTATTAAACACCCATAAACGGGATGTCAGCTTCAGACGAATTAGTGTCGTTATCTACCGCAATGAATCGACAGGACAAAATGTCGGGTAATGCTGTGTGATTAAGACGGTTATTGATGTTCCATGATGGCTGTTAATCCTGTTTGCCTTCCATGATGGCTGTTAATCCTGTTCAGTTTCCATAATGGCTGTTAATCCTGTTTGCCTTCCATGATGGCTGTTAATCTTGTTTGCCTTCCATGATGGCTGTTAATCCTGTTCAGTTTCCATGATGGCTGTTAATCCTGTTTGCCTTCCATGATAGCTGTTAATCCTGTTTGCCTTCCATGATGGCTGTTAATCCTGTTCAGTTTCCATGGTGGCTGTTAATCCTGTTTGCCTTCCATGGTGGCTGTTAATCCTGTTCAGTTTCCATGGTGGCTGTTAATCCTGTTTGCCTTCCATGATGGCTGTTAATCCTGTTCAGTTTCCATGATGGCTGTTAATCCTGTTTGCCTTCCATGATGGCTGTTAATCCTATTCAGTTTCCATGATGGCTGTTAATCCTATTTGCCTTCCATGGTGGCTGTTAATCCTGTTCAGTTTCCATGATGGCTGTTAATCCTGTTTGCCTTCCATGATGGCTGTTAATCCTGTTTACCTTCCATGATGGCTGTTAATCCTGTTTACTTTCCATGATGGCTGTTAATCCCGTTTGCCTTCCATGATGGCTGTTAATCCTGTTTGCCTTCCATGATGGCTGTTAATCCTGTTCAGTTTCCATGATGGCTGTTAATCCTGTTTGCCTTCCATGATGGCTGTTAATCATGTTTGCCTTCCATAATGGTTGTTAATCCTGTTTGCCTTCCATGATGGCTGTTAATCTTGTTCAGTTTCCATGATGGCTGTTAATCCTGTTCAGTTTCCATGATGGCTGTTAATCCTGTTCAGTTTCCATGATGGCTGTTAATCCTGTTTGCCTTCCATGATGGCTGTTAATCCTGTTCAGTTTCCATGATGGCTGTTTATCTTGTTTGCCTTCCATGATGGCTGTTAATCCTGTTCAGTTTCCATGGTGGCTGTTAATCCTGTTTGCCTTCCATGATTGTTATTTATCTTGTGTACCTTCCATTATTGTTGTTTGTTCTGTCTACCTTCCATGATTGTTGTTTATCTTGTGTACCTTCCATGATGGCTGTTAATCCTGTCTACCTTACATAATGGCGGTTAATCATTTTTACCTTCCATGGTGACTGTTAATCCATATCCTATTGCTATTCCATGGATGAATGTTTCATTGACGTTCGTTATTTTCTCACGATCAATTGATCTTGTTTATAGTTCACGAGCGCAAATTGAAACAATATTGATCTACTTAAAAGCCGAAACTTTCGCTCAACGTGTTTATGGATAAAGTTTAGCCGAGGGACTTAGCAGACTGGGTTATATTGACATTATTCAGAAGAATCAATTCCCAGCATAATACTCTTCACTTAACGCAAGATAAACAAACTGAGAGTGAAACCGATAGTGGATATATATACATTGCCTTACAGCTCATTCGAACACCTTGCTTGTGTTGGACATACTTCAACTGACCTTCATCGTTAAAGCCTTTTATTCATGTTTTGAAATAACAGATTAAATATTCCAAGCACATAACAATACATCAGACATTGACTGATTGCCTTCCCTTGTAAGAGAAAGTCCCGTAAGTGTATTAATGATTTACGTAAGCGTTATCCATTCTTAATCGCGCAGAACAGACATTTAATCCATCGTCATGTATTTAGCATTCGCCACGTCTCTCGGCCATTAATCCTTTGACAGACGTGTGGACCTACTCTGGCTTCAAAACATCAAAGGTGGTCTGATTCCAATGCTTCTTGCTGTTTCAGACTTTCTCAGACCCATTAGAACTGGAGCTGCAGGGGGTCCACGAACAGAACCAACTAACCAGGACACATGGCGAGAACGAGGCTATCGATTCCAGCGAAGAAAAAGAGGTTGTTGACAACGATGTTGTACCGGAAGTCAAGCGGTCGGAGCGAGTGAGCACAGATGACGTCGACCCACCTGGCGAAGACCTGGATGAGTTATCTGACAACCTGGATGCGGCGGACCGGGATGTCAAGAGCGTTCTTCGAGTGTTCCTCCACAATCTGAAACAACACCCTGAGATCGTGGAGGACATCATGGAAAGTAAATATCTAACAGCCGACTCGTTGCTTTCAACACATTAAGTACACAGTGCACTCTCACAGAAGGCCATGTTGAGCCTTATCTTAGCGGAACGGGGTTCTGATTAAATTAAATTAAATTCAGTTGTACAAACTTGTGACGAGTCGTCTATTGTCACATTCGTCTGATTACATTAAACATTTTTGACTTCTCCAAATTCACTTGATGTATTGAGCTGGAATATTTAGTAGGTTTGGCTATAAGGGGTGTCTAGGACATGATAGTGCCCCGGGGCTCCACGCTAGTCTCCCCGTGGGCCGAGTCTAGGACATGATAGTGCCCCGGAGCTCCACGCTCCTCTCCCCGTGGGCCGAGTCTAGGACATGATAGTGCCCCAGAGCTCCACGCTCGTCTCCCCGTGGGCCGAGTCAAGGACATGATAGTGCCCCGGAGCTCCACGCTCGTCTCCCCTTGGGCCGAGTCTAGGACATGATAGTGCCCCGGAGCCCCACGCTCGTCTCCTCGTGGGCCGAGTCTAGGACATGATGGTGCCCCGGAGCTCCACGCTCCTCACCGCGTTAAAGAGTAATAACTGACACAAACTGGGAATCGGGAGGTTATTATGTCTGACCTTGAGTTATGACTGGGCGAACCCCGAATGCATAGTGCCTTTGACCACCTCCTTCGTCTGCTACATACCACTGTGAGACAGTCCTTTTCATCCCCACCTGGCCTAGCCAGTGCAAACCCCCCCCCCCCCACCCCCCCCCCACCCCCCCCCACCCCCACCCCACACACACACACACACACCCCAACACAAATACACAACCTTCCCTCCAAAATCCCCCTTTTTCGCAACCCCTTCCACATGCTGCATCCTCTTTGTCACCTGGTGACAGGCGCCCGTCAGTCCAGCATTCTCGCCTTGGCCTTTACCGTAAACTCTATAGCACGTTAATGATATTGAATGTGGCTATTGCATTAAACGCATCTGTCAGAAGTCACACTTAATGTCATTTTCTAATCAATTGAGAGATGGTTGCATATCACAGCCGGGACTTATCACATTAATGTGACTTGCAGTTTCTATTCTGCATGCAAAAGTATTGGTGACAGTCGCCACAAGTCTGACGGGCCATTGATTTCTTGCTCAAAGTGGATTACATACAGTGTCTGCTAATGGAGAAGACAGTTTTCTTTAATATACACTCCCCATCTGTCGACAGCATTGAAGATCACGCGATTTAAAAAAAGATTATTCTTGTTTTTTTCTGTCACAGTTTCAACCGGATGTTGGTGTCAAACCCACAACCAACCGGATTAGACACACAGACATAACATATACAATACAACTTTAGGAACCAATCAGTAAGAAAGTATGGTTTAAGATTTTCGACGAAAAGCGATTTTTGGCCACATTTTTTGCAGGTTATTTTTGGCGGTTGTACATGCATTTTCTTGTGTGTGTGGCTTTATATTAAAAACATAGCTTGTTTTATTTCATTGTTGCTCATCACTAGACACTATGTTCTTAATGGCAGCCCTCTTGAGATAGTCCCCAGTTATAAATATCTTGGAGTAAATTTTTCTAGCTCGGGTTCCTGGTATAAAACTCAAAAGATATTATCCCAACAAGCTTGGAAGGTAATATTATTGTTACAATCACATATGTACAATTTTCACAAACTTCCCCTGAAAATGTTACTTCGTATTTTTGATGTTAAAGTGCTGCCCATATTATTATATGGCTCAGAGATAAGTGGATTTCATCCCTCTAAAGATATTGTAAATGTTCATGATAAATTCTGCAAGCTTATTTTGAAACTGAGAAGAACTGTTCCTAATATTGTAGCAAGAGCTGAACTTGGGAGATACTCGTTAAAAGTAAACCAACATCTGAAAATTATTAAGTACTGGCTGCGTTTATTAACTCAGAACGAAAACAGTATATTATATCACACGTATGTGTACCAGTATGACCGGGCAGAAAAGGGTCTAGATTGCTGGGCACTGAAAGTTAAAAATCTGTTATTTTCCTTTGGATATGGTGAAATTTGGAATAGACAATCAGTTTCTTGTATCCATTCATTTATATCCTCTTTTAGAACAAGATGTATTGATATTGATAACCAGTGTCTCTTTGAATCTTTTGACAAATTATCTTCATTATATTTGTATAAAACAATTAAGCTATCAAACGAATATGAAAATTATTTAAATGTTGTGAAAATTGCTGCATTTAGGATTATTCTCTCACAGGGATCTTATGGTATCACAGGGTAGAAAGTTAGGTATTCCAAAGTGTGAAAGACTTTGTCCATTTTGTATCATTCCAAGTGTAGAAACAGAATACCATGTTTGTTTAGTTTGTCCGTTTTATGACGATCTTAGAAGAAACTTTCTGCCAAGTTATTATTATACATCTCCATCAGAGCATAAATGTAAGGTTTTATTTACCACCAGTAATGCTTTCACAATCAATAATCTTGCCAAGTTTACATTCTTTGCTCTTAAAATGAGGAGCAAGCAGTTGTCCATTATATAAACTACTAATTCTACCACCATATGTATATGGTCTCAGATACCCTTGTACGGATTAGTATTGATATTACTACATGCACTTGTGGCGCAACATGTTTGAATGCTTGAATATATATATTGTAAAATGGGCCTGTGGCCTGATTTACTGAAATAAACCACCACTACCACTACTACTACTACTACTAGACACTATGGTTGCATGCTGTTTGGTTAATCGTGTTCAGTGCACATCCATCTATCACGCATGCGCAATATCGATGTATTGGTCCAGGTTCGCTATTAAGCAGCAAGTATAACCGACAAAACCCACATCGCAAGTTGCAAGCCTCATATATCTCTGTAATAACGCTAGTGACACCGCAGATAGTCTCCCGTCTACAGAAAACGGAATACTGTCTGACTGTACACTGTGTATGTTTACCTGTACTGCATGGCTATTGATGTGGGATAACCCGCTCTGGTCCTGTGAAGCTCTTTTGTCTATCCTACAAATATTGGTATTGGTGCAACTGTCCGAGGGCTCTCTCTCTCTCTCTCTCTCTCTCTCTCTCTCTCTCACGCACGCACACATACACACACTTCATATCACGTATCTACAAGCACCAATGCCTGGAGGGCAGTGCACTGGGAGATTGCATGTGCAGGATGCGATATGCATCTAATCTTTGTTCATCGACTCTCAAACAACGTGATCCAAACAATAATGTTGTCTCTGCGGGAGCAGATCAATCACCGGCTGCTTTAGATGGAGAAATTATCTCTGAAATGACTCCTGACCTTTTGTCTATCCTACAAATATTGGTATTGGTGCAACTGTCCGAAGGCCTACCTGTCTCTCTCTCTCTCTCTCTCTCTCTCTCTCTCTCACACACACACACACACACACACACACACACCACCACCACAACCACACACACAATTTTTCGTCCCTCTAAAACATTTGCCCATGACAGACCCATGACCGATTCCCAGGCTTACAAAGCATGAAATGCTTCAATATTGCACAAACAGAGTAAAACTCTATTCACTCACTCACTCACGTCTGTTTTAGGGGAAGGCGAGAAACTTCTTGGGCACAAGATAGTTGCGGACACTGAGAGCAGCGACCCTTCAGCCTTCCAGAAACCAAGTCCGCAGCTCATCAAGGTGCGTGAATGACCAGGTGGTGTGTATTGACACAATGCTCTGATTGAATTATATCGACCCGAGCCTCGACTAATATTAGGAAAATATTTTGTACATAATTACGCTGGCGGAAAACACCGTGCCGTTATGGAAGCTGATTCCTGGCTCGATACATTCCAGCACGGTGATGTGTGTGTGTCTTTAAACGAGGTGGGTGGTAAGGTTGCATGGGGTTTAAGGTCGCGTTCAGTATGATTGCACTTATATAGCGACGTGCGGACTTGAACTAGTCCGGACCATGCCAGTTTTAGAGTCCTCGCCCACTGAGATACCATGCGAAGGATACTCCACTCAGACACGGTACCCGGACCAGCCCTTTTTTTATTCCCGAGCGTCAGGCAGGGAAACAACAAGTACCATTTTTTTGCGTCTTTTGGTATGACGCGGCCGGTGATATATAAAAAATATATTGAAAAATTGGTTGTTCTTTAGTACATATGAGTAGAAACATTGGTATGTAGAAGAAAGTTTGAAAACACATTAACTGCATTACGTGTGCGAAGACACTTGGTTTATATAAAAACATGTACAGGTCGTGTGTCGGGTAAAATAGATTCATTACAATAGATTCCGGAAAGATTAATTCGAATTCTGTTAATATAACGATTGCGAGGAATGACCTGCCTTGACACGGATATGGGACGTGTGGCCATCATCTGAGTTTCCTATGTCTTGGCGTGTCAGCACCGTATGTGGTAAACGTCGAAGACCTGCACCAGTTCTGGCTTCCTTACCACATGAGGCTGACACGCCGCTATAACTTAAATCATATTCATAACGGCGTTAAACCCTTTAAACTCGCTGACTCTAAGGCGACACAATTCGCCTGCAGAGATGCGTCCATCATGTAAAAGAATTCTCCCCGACTATAATTCTTGGTCTGTCAAAACCACACGTACACGTGGGGCCACCAAAGTGGTAAACGACCTCGCCCTGTGCCACCATAAGATTCCTCTCGCAGAGAAATGGCATGCTGGGAAAGAACTGAATATTTGTCCGCATAAACTCAGAATCCCTCTTTTGTATGAAATCACGGGAGTTTCGCACAGGAGAACGCCATTTTAAGCTTCACTCACCCAAATTAGATTTAATTGCAAGCAACTTCATCATGCATGACGAGGGGTTTACTTAAAATGTGTCTGGCTTTTTCTGCTTTACCTTAAAACGGTACATATCACCCGTAACATTAAACTTGCAACAAGCAGTAAGCCGAGTCTTCAAACAGGCCAGTGCCTGGTTACTCGTCCGCATTCAAGACGATCCATCAAAATACACACGTCATGTTTTCAACATCGGACCTGCGGCATCGATTCAAACAGCGTCGCCCCCAAAGAGCTGACGTTTTTCAACGTCAATCCGCGTAGAACTCACGTCAGAGGGGTCTCCGACACACGTCCCCAGTCCTCGTACAACTGGAATCGATTTTATGCTGACTAAATAAACTTTATACTTAATTAAAACCCCAATTCACAGCATTTTGACACATTCCTTTGGTGCCAACAACTGAGCAGGGAACGTATTCCAAAGGGGCCGCCATTACGCCAATTCATGTTAGCTCGGTACAGGATCCGTGCGTAAAAAGCAGAAACAAGTAATGCAAAATTATGCCTCAGATCTTTCAACATTTGATGGTGAAAAGTTAACAGCATTACTGAATCCCTGCCGTCTGAATGCCCCTTGCCCTATATGACACATGCAAGTGGCCGTTCCGCCCCGTTGGCCTTAATTAGCTGTCTTTCATTTAACGTATGGTTCCACAATTTATTCCAGATCCCGAAGCAAGTCGAGAAGAAAGCAGGGGGCGAGTTTCCACGTTTTATCTACAGTAAGTGCCAACAGATTGAATTAGAGTCTTCCCCGGAGATCGCATGGCATGGCATGGTTGCTTTTGAGTGGACTACCAATCTCGTAACACTGGTCGTTCGAAAACAGGACGCATCCTATCTTGTACTATCATTAGACAAGATCATATGATACTATTCCAAACGACATAACCTGTGTAGGGGTAAATTATGTGATGAAAGATTTTTGTCGGATTGAGTGATCGATTAAAGATGATGTTGATTCCTGTAAATAGCTTTGTGACAGATCGTATATGCTTGTTGTAAGAGGCAACTAACGGGATCGGGTGGTCAGGCTCGTAGACTTGGTTGATGCAGGTCATCGTATCCCAAATGCGTGAATCGATGCTCATGATGTTAATCACTGGATTGTCTGGTCCAGACTCTTTTATTTACAGACCGCCGTCATACAGCTGGAATATTGCTGAGTGCGGCGTTAAGCAACGAACAAACAAACAGTATTTCCTGAGATGTTATCAAATATTACGTATGATAAAGAATTTAATATTTTGCATTTTGTTTTGGTATTCCCGGAAATTGATCTTAATGTCAGTAGAAAATGTCAGCACCACACCCGTGATCGTGGGTTTCACCAAAGTGGTAAAAGCCTGAGACCTACTTTCTTCCCACATCAAACGAACGCCGTGATATAACTGGAATACTGTTGAAAGCGGCGTTAAACGCAACTCACTAACTGAAAGAATTTTACTCTGACGTGTCGATTTTCTGGAGATTGTGGTGCATGCTTTAACGAGGTTTCAATATATACAAACTACCACCGTTAGTCATTGTAACATGCCCAAGACGCTTTGGTAGGTAAGGAAGAAGCTGTTGGTGCAGGTTGACGTCCTACAACATACAATTATATTTTAGAGACCCCTATGCGAAATACATTTGAGAGGAACCAAATGACTGCAGGGAGCGTCAATAACGACGCTCAGACAGCCGAACCAGCATCCCACCACAACGAGGTCCCAGCAGCAGAAAGTACCTACGTTGACCCCCACGATGTGAGTGAGGTCAAGGCCGGCCACGTTGACCTGAGTAATGCCATTCCCGTCATACAGCAGCCCAACACCGATCAGGGCACCCTTGAGGGTCAGGTACGTGCGTCGTGATTAGATTTAACAACTGAACATGGTTTCACACGACAAACTGCAATGTGTGTGTGTGTGTGTGTGTGTGTGTGTGTGTGTGTGTGGAAATAGGGGTTTGGGGACGAACATTGTTAGTGTCTTCAAACTCGTTTTTGAAGTATAAATAGGTGTCAAACAAATGTTGGTCGCTTACAAACAATAAGATGCTACCTATGACTTTATGTTCACTTACTCCTTCAACAAACTGGCGTTGGCAAGTGAAGAGAAGCAAAGTAACAACAGCACATATTAGTCCTGTGCAAACACAATTTATTTTAGCTTGCCGATCTGTGATTTCAAACGTATTTTTGCCCGTGTGACGCCGCCTTAAGGAGATCATCGAGCGATGCCAAAGGGCTTGAATACTTAAAGCAACACGTGACCAATAAATCACAATAATAAAATATTGCGCCGAAAACAGGTTCCATTGGTTGTAAAAGGCAGAATAGCGGTGAAAATGATATGAATGAATCCCTGAAAATCAGTCATGAAAAGGCGAAAGGGATTAGCAAATCCTGCCCTTCCGGGCGCACCCGCTGCCCACACAATTTGCATTAAAAAGGAAGTGTTTGGTGCCTGACGCTGTACGGCGACGGCGACGGCGGCCTGTAAACAGACCCCACAATCCAGTGATGAACCAGAAAAAAAGCAGTGACACGATGGAGCATCCACTGATTTTGTCGAAACTAAATACGAGATGTTATGATTTAATTATGTATGAAATGTATTACTTAAGCTTTGTGTTGAGGACACACTTTGAACGAGCGCTAGATGGCCACGATGGGAGTTACGACAGTAAAAGGCGTTTACATCCCTTTGTTGCACAGGATCCTGTACTGCAGCAGTACTATACGTATAACAAACACAACAGGTCAAATGTCATACTAATTGATAGAAAACACGAGGTATATGAGCTGTATATCACTGCGGCTTATGGTCAATGCTATAAGAGCACGAAATTAATCTACTCTATAAGTACTTTATATGTAAGTCATTATATCCGTTCTGAATTATACATTCACAAGATTGCATTTCTGAAGCTGACATTTAGATACAGAGTATTTTTTACCTTGTGAAGTATGCCTCATGATCTTGACGAACGTGGGTTAGTTGCTCTCTGGGTGTATTATTCTAACGACCCCATTTCGTAGGATCACTGCACGACATCCCACTGAGTACAAAGCAATTACAGAAATATTTCTGACATCAGAAAGATTTCCAAGGTATCACCAAAAGCTCTTTCTGAAACATACCCAGACAATACAGCTGATGTCCCGCCAATACACAAGTTACCACAGTTACCTGACGAATACGCAAGAGCTATTACTGCATTATACGACCTATACTCAAGCGTTGTTACCACAGTATATTAACCAATACACAAGCGTTGTTACCACAGTATATCAGCCGATACACAAGCTTTTATCATCGATATATCAGCCAATACACAAGCGTTGTTACCACAATATATCAGCCAATACACAAGCGGTGTTACCACAGTATATCAGACAATATACAAGCATTGTTGCCTCAGTATATCAGCCAATACACAAGCGTTGTTACCACAGTATATCAGACAATACACAAGCGGTGTATCAGCCAATACACAAGCTTTTATCATCGATATATCAGCCAATACACCAGCGGTGTTACCACAACATATCAACCAATACACAAGCGTTGTTACCACAGTATATCAGCCGATACACAAGCTTTTATCATCGATATATCAGCCAATACACAAGCGTTGTTACCACAATATAGCAGCCAATACACAAGCGGTGTTACCAGTGTATCAGCCAATACACAAGCGATGTTACCACAGAATATCAGCCAATACACAAGCGTTGTTACCACAATATATCAGCCAATACACAAGCGGTGTTACCACATAATATCAGCCAATACACAAGCGCTGTTACCACAGTATATCAAACAATACACAAGCGTGGTTACCACAGTGTATCAGCCAATACACAAGCGGTGTTACCAAAGAATATCAGCCAATACACAAACATTGTTACCACAGTATGCCGGCCAAAATACAAGCGTTGTTACCACAGTACATTAAACAATACGCAAGTGTTGTTACCACAGTGTATCAGCCAATACACAAGCGTTGTTACCTCGGTATATCAGACAATACACAAGCGTTGTTACCACAGTATATTAACCAATACACAAGTGTTGTTACCACAGTGTATCAGCCAATACACACGTGTTGTTACCACAGTTTACGACCGATACACAAGCGTTGTTACCTCAGTATATCAGACAATAAACACGCACTGTTACCACAGTGTATCAGCCAATACACAAGCGCTGTTACCACAGTATACGACCTTTACACAAGCGTTGTTACCACAGTATATCAGCCAATACACACGCACTGTTACCACAGTTTATCAGCCAATACACAAGCGCTGTTACCACAGTATACGACCTATACTCAAGCGTTGTTGCCACAGTGTATCAGCCAAATCACAAGCGTTGTTACAACAGTGTATAAGACACTACACAAGCGCTGTTACGACAGTATACGACTGATACTCAAGCGTTGTTGCCACAGTGTATCAGCCAATACACAAGCGTTGTTACCACAGTATATCAGCCAATACACAATCGCTGTTACCACAGTATACGACCGATACACAAGCGTTGTTACCACAGTGTATCAGCCAAATCACAAGCGTTGTTACCACAGTATATCAGCCAATACACAAGCGCTGTTACCACAGTATACGACCGACACTCAAGCGTTGTTGCCACAGTGTATCAGCCAATACACAAGCGTTGTTACCACAGTATATCAGCCAATACACAAGCGTTGTTACCACAGTGTATCTGCCAATACACAAGCGGTGTTACCACAGTGTATCAGCCAATACACAAGCGTTGTTACCACAGTATACGACCGATACACAAGCGTTGTTACCACAGTATATCAGACAATACACAAGCGTTGTTACCACAGTATATCAGCCAATAGACAAGAGTTCTGACTTGAGTATATCAGCCAATACACAAGCGTTGTTATCGCATTGTCTGCTTCACTTACAAATCAAGTAGATTTGTGATGTGGGATAGACGCAATTAACTGCCTCCAGCGACAAGAAATAAGTACGCTCTCGACCATAAGTATCAATCTGCTGAGAATATCTGGAGGCGAACTACAAAGGGTTGCTGCATTAGACATCAAGTAATCAATTGTTGTGAGCGTTGTGAGCATAACAGGCTGTGCACGTGGGTACAAAGAGTTGCTGAAACAAATTAGATTTTGATCAACTGGCGTGTCATCTAAAATCAAAAGTATATGTTTAAGTTTAATAATCCACGATTTTTTTCTCAAAATATATGTCATTTTAACGACGAGGCAAAAGAGAATGTTCCCAAGCTATTAAACAGCTGGACTCTGTCCTCCATGTTTTCACCCTTGTGGGATTCTACAGGAAACTATGCTTCAGGAGCTACAAAAGAGAATTATGTATGTGTTCTACGCGAAGCGTTAACGCATCTTAGTTATGGCGTTTAAACTCAGGAGTTCATTTATGTTCCCTGGCAATATGGTGACACGGATGGCCCAGTCGTCTAAGCCGCCGCAACTCGCAGTTCGCTGTGCAGAGTTGCGTCTCTTGGCTACGCCAGAAACCTATGATCGTGGGTTGGAATCCCGTTTCGCTCCGATTATCTTTCTAGGTGTGTCAGTTCCATACCCGTACTCGTGAGTTTCACCGAAGTGGTAAACGTCTGAAACCTGCATCACTTCGGGATTTCCTCCCACCAATAAACCAATGACTTCTCAGCAAACATAAATCATAATCCACGTTTTTACTTTCATTTCAGATAAATATTCTGCCCGATCAGCCAGAGCAAAACGGCCCCATTGACATAGCCGCGCTTCAGCAAGCGCAGGATGAATATAGCAGAGAGAATCCTTTCATCAACAGCCTTCCTCTCTTCCCCGAACATCAGGCGTCGCAGGCGTCGCAGGCTGAGGACATCGTGGAGCCCGACCAGAAGCCGTCACCCATGCAGCCCGTCGAGGCTGAGGAGGCTCCAGAAGATGACGTTCCTCGGCAGGATACGGAGATTGTCAACAGTGAAATAGCTCCTGAAGAGGAATCTGATCTAATAAAAGAAGGGGGCGAATCCGAGGAGAAGAGGTCACAGGTTTTGAAATCAGAGGAAGAGGACAAAGAGGCTGACACTGGAGTGAAATCGGAGGAAGAGGACGACCAGGGTCAGGAAAGTGAGAGTCAGCCGAAAGGAGTAGCTGTAGGGGAGAGCGTTCCCAACTCGCCCGAAACCAAACCACTGCATCATCTGACGGGGAGTGAAATCGCCGCTAATGCGTTGCACAATCCCGTGGAAAGTGAAAGCTCGGTGCCATATTATTATTACTACTACGACTACAACAAGGACGGCGGCAGGGTTCCCGCTGGTGACCTGGGACCTTCAGAGGAAGGAGAGCGGGAAGAGGAGGAGTTGGAGAACATCAGCGATGAGAACAAACCGGAAGAAGCAGAATCAGAAACAGAGGAAGAAGAGGAAGACGAACACTCACACGAAGACGCAGAAGAGACCGAGGAAGAGGAAACAGATGGTGATGATCAATCTGAAGATGAAGCTGAGGAAAAGGATGAGGATGAAGAAGGATGGGATGAAGAAACAGGTGATGAAACAGAGGATGATGAAGCAGAAGCTGGTGAAGGCGATGAGGGGGCAGAAGAGGACAGTCACGCAGGAGAGGAGGCAGAAGAGGACAGTCACGCAGGAGAGGAGGAGGAAGACCATGACGAGGAGAAAGGGGGCCGTGACGAGGAGGAAGAGGTTGGTGATGAAAGTGACGAATCTGCAGACAGGACGAACTCTCATAAAGTGATTGTTGTTAATGAAGACAGCCTCCCCGAACCAACCAAACAGAAAGCGTTCGTGGCACAGCCTTTGGGGGATGACGAAAATGAGGTAAATCTAATGATTAAATAAGTCATGGAAATTACATAACGATAAACAGGCAGTTTGTATATGATGGGAGGTGGGAAAGCCATGATACAAGATTAGGGGTGTTGGTGTGGGAGTTTGGTTTATTTTCGAGGGGTGGGGGGTAATCATTTAAAGGAGGGATATGCAGATAAATGACCAACTTCACCAGGTAGAATGACATGAGACCGAACCACTTTCTCGTCCGTATTGCTTCCTCGCAGTGTTACATCGACTATCTGCCCGTATAGCGTTGGCAGACCATGAGTCACGATATCGATTCTGCCTGCCTCATGCAAGTCGTTAATAAACTTCTAAAAGTTAAAATGAGCCTTGTTGCTCACAAAGAGGTATATTTCTAAAAATAACTCTCTCAGCATGCTGACTAAACAAGGTAAGGATCAATTGTTTGAAAGACATTACTAAGGTGTTGACGGATGACAAAGTAGACAAAATGTATGGATAACAACCTCCATGACATACGGCGCCTTTACAGTAAATAAAGAAGATGTTATCCATAAGTTGTCTACTTTGCCAAGGACTCGGTCATTACATTGTCATTTCCCCAAGGCACGCGAAAGTGATTGAAACGACTGATATTGTTCTCGGGATTATGGAAAGTGTGTCGAGTTATCCGTAATTCGGGACAAGCGGGGTGCTGATATTAGAACATAGTGCCGATAATTATGCCGCAAAGTTACTTCGTCTTAGACAGCCATGAACAGCCGGGTTAAAAATCGTTTCAGATACCCATGTTGTCGACTAACGAGGAGATCGGAACGCTGACTTGGTTGACGCATGACATCGTATCCCAATTGCGTAGATCGATTCTCATGATGTCAGTTACTGGATAGTCAGGTCCAGATCGCCATCATATTGCTGGAATATTACTGAGTGCGGCGTTATACAACAAATAAACATCGTCTTAGATAATAAATCGATTTAGAGACTTCGACTTCGACGTTTCACTTTATACCACTAACGATTCTCAAGTCGAATCAGTGACCATATGTCAATCTGGGTTGGGTTTTTTACGTTTAAGTAGATATTGTACACGTTCATCACACCCGACAAGAAATTGCAGTGCCATTGTTTACTTTGTTTTTCAATCCTTTGAACTGACGTTCGTAGACTATTCTTAGTGAGCAACTGTTTGATTTTCAGGGAATGGGGGGCGGGATTTTGGTTTGAGATCAGCATGTTTTAAATGTTTATGAGCTCAAACAAATTTCCAACATAAACATGTTCTCAATTATATTTTGTCAATAAATAAATAAAAATAACGAACTGTTTTCTTTGGCCATTTGTGCTCAAGAAAAGGGCACAGTATATCAAATCTAATGGTTGCCCCATTATAGAAACGAGGACCGTAACGAAGCTATGCAGTCACCCCAACATACGGTAGTCACTCCTGTTAGATATAGTATAATCCTGTTAGTACGCAAAACCCACCTGTTGGACGCTTCCTATTTTGAAAGTATACTTATTTACAAAGGAACATTACTTCGTACACGTGATTCATTTTAACAGGAAGTTTTACTAATCTGGACGATTTCTCAGGGAACTGTACCGTAAGGGTTAGCAATATCAACGAAAGCATTATGTAATGTAATATAGTCATTTAGATGCACATATATTGAAAGAAAGGCTCCGTTTTCAAGGTTTTCTGGTGCGGCTACCGCATGAAAACAACGTGAGCATCAAGTTGTCCACAAGATGAAGTGTCGTCTGCTCGTGTCAGAAAGCCGAGCAGACGACTCCAGTCAGACACATGGGATTTAGGGGGATTGATTTCAATGATTTCACGTTTCCTTATTTGTTCCTAGAGACGCAAGTTAATGTATTTATACAAGAGGAGACGGTTTGAAAACTAATTTGGTTGTAATCACAAAACCTAAGGACGACGATGCTTTTTATTGATTCAAATGATGACTTCACGTTCAGCTTTCACTGCATGGCCTGCAATAGAATGCATGTCTGCTATCAGTGATAATCTGAAGGGTAGTTCATACAATATCAAGAAGATTAGAAAACGAAAGAAAAGAGGCAGACCTACTGCAGACCAGCAGAGAGCTACCAAACTACGGAATATGTGCACACTTTTAATAGAATTAGCCACACAAATTACAAACAAAGACACAATCCCCATAAAGTTTCCATCGTAATGATAAGAACCCGACACATTTTCAATGGAACCGAACACTGCAAATCAGTCAGTCAACCAGCTTCTAATTTAACATTACAGTAAACTACGGTTATAACGAACACGCTTATAACGAACTGGCGGATATAACGAACTGGTTTTTAGGTCCCTGCCATTTGCTGTATATATGCTGTATATATGCTTATAACGAATTACGGTTATAACCAACTAGAATTTGTGGTCCCTTTTTGAGTTCGCTATAACCGTAGTTTACTGTACTTAAATGGGGGACCTAATGGGGAAAGTTTGTTTCTTTGTAATTTGTGTGGCTATTTCGATTTACAGTGTGTACATATGCTTGTCGTAAGAGGCGTATAACGGGATCGGTTGGTCAGACTTGGTTGAAGCATGTCATTGTATCCCAATTAGCGTGGTTCGATGCTCATCATGTCAATCACTTGATTGTCTGGTCCAGATTTGATTATTTACAGACCGCCTTCATATGGCTGCAATATTGCTGAGTGCGGTGTTAAACAACAAACAAACACGTTCCATGGTTTGGTAGATCTCTTCAGGTTTCCTTTGGTAGGACTGAGAGAACACAAGAAGAATTAACGTTTATCGTTTACAGTATTAGGGCACAGCTACATTTTACACGAACATTATTGACGATATATAATAGTCATGGCAATCGTTTATCTTGATATGATATACATGTGCATCAAAACCTTAATATAGCAGGGCATGAACAAATATTTCAAACTCCAAGATGTTCGATTATTGATACGCATTACTTAGACGTTGACGGATGACAAAGTAGACAGAATTTATGGATAACAACTTCTTTAAAACTGTAAAGGCGACGTTTCGGTATAGATTCTTATACCGTTGTCAAGCAGTCTTGGTGACTTGACGTCTTGACTTCTTAACAACGATATAAGGATCTATACCGAAACGTCGCCTTTACAGTATAAAGAAGTTGTTACTCTTAGATTCTGTCCACTTTGTCAAGCGGTTCATGTTGCTGTTTCATAGGATGCTATTACCCTTGATGCTATGTTTGCAAGAGCCGATATCATACGTAGTGAACTTACGAAAATCGTAGCAGGCTGATTGCTTTGTGGAATGAGACCCAGGGGCCAGTCCCACAAACCGACCTTAGTGCTGCGATCAACTTATAGTCGTAAGATCGCTTGACAAAGGGAGCAAAGTCCATTACGCGCCACCCTGATAAAGCTGCATTATACTGACCACGCCGTGATACACGATTAATTTACTCACTCATCTTTCATTTCTTTATTTTAGGCTGACCTGCTGTCCTTGAACGTCGGAGCACCAGATGGCGCGTCCAATAATCCAGACGGTCCGGCTATGTAAAATGGCGACGCAGATTGGAGCCTCGTTTTCGTACTCGCTACTCTCGAACACAACATCTTAAGTTGATTGGTGCGATTACAAAAATGAGGCTGCGAATGACAAAGAAAATGAAATGTGAAAAAGGAAATATAGCTTATCATTCCTTAGATGACTTGAGTCTTGTTGGTATTAAGTTTTATTTTTATATAGGGAGTCAGGACATCTAGATTGGTTTGGTATTGTCTTGAATGAAAGCAGAATGGCTAACGACACTATTGTAAATAACTATCATGACAATGGAATAATACGAACATGTTCAAGCATTGTTCTCTGTTCACTGGGGTTTGTTTCGTGTTTTGTTTCTTGATTCAACCGTAATCTCTCATTATTTCACTCTCGGTTAACTGGTAACACTATTCACCCCATAAACCAAACAAGAATGGCGGTTCTAGTATCACAATAACTAGCAAGTACTTTTGAACTTACATCTTCTAAAACTTCAAACATTAGATCATAAACTATCCACTGTGAGATTTGTATCTCCGACGCGCTGGCATTGAGAGCCTTTATCCAATGCCGAAGGTCACACGAAGCTTGCTGCTCGGGAACCGGCAGGACAGGTTGTCTCGGAATTCCAAGGTCGTTTCAGAACATTTGAAACTGAATACCAGCGAAGTGTATTTTTAATGAAAGTCTCATAATTGATTCATTGTAACGTACAGTGTCTTGCTTTGCTTATCATTCAGTGGAACTTCACGAATACGCTCACTACAATCGTAACGCTTTCCTGGGCCCACTTGCACAGAGCGATCTTAGCGCTAAGATGATCTTAACTCCCATACTTTAACATAGGCTTACAAAAGTCTTAGCGCTAAGATCGTTTTGTGCAAGTGGGCCCTGGAGTCATGTTTCAGAGCATTCTTGAACAAATATTGTCTCTGCCGTCCTGAACTGAACCTTACCGTCAACGCCAGAGAACAATCAGTCCCGAGTATCTGCCGAAACAGATTCCATTTGGCATAAAAGGGAAAATAGTGGTGAAAATTATTTGAATAAATCACTGAAAATCAGTGGAGACACCGGGTGTTCGCGAAAATGGTAAGCATTTCCTGCTTTCCATGTAGCAATGAGAAATTGAGAAGTAAGGCCTTCGTTATTCCACGGCTATTGTTACTGTGTGTGTTTTATTCCCTCTTTGGGTATATCATTTGAAACAGATATGTTTTACTTAAACTAAAGTAATATCAACATTCCATATTAACAGAAGTGATTAGTACTCATACCATTCCGACATGATCTGGACGCGGTCTCCGGTCCCCACCCTGTTCCACGACGGGTATTGGCCAATGTATAAATAGACATCGTGATTGACTGAACGCTGTGCGTTGTAGTGACCACCTGTATAGCAGGCGTTTTTTTCTTCAACCACGTGTGTTTGATGTATCAAATAATATTCAACCACAGTCTCCCACATAGGTCCTATACACAAACCACTATCTGTGTACCTGGTAATTTTTTAACACGTGTGTTTAAACATCAATACATATATTAGATTCTCTTAGACTATTTTATCCCTTTGGCACAGTATATGATAGGTGTTTGTCAATAAACGTCCCACACATAATATAGTCGTATAAGTCACAGTATAACAAATAGGCAATTTCTACTATTTAATTATCGTGTAAATATATAGCGTTTGAAACCTAGAATACTAGTATCACACAGGCATTTAGCCATTCGTTCGTTAGAACTCTTTTGTGAAATTTATAAACTATCTTTTCATGTATTATCGACACTTGTAGAATAATTCAAAACACGTGAGTTTTTTAAAAATATATTTACGGGACCGGAATTATTTGGTTATTATGAAGAAGCTGTTTTTTTGCGTCTTCTCTTGTTTACAATTTACTTCGGTTAATGTATATATCAGCATTGGCTTCTGATATACAATTCCTTGTCAAAATGGCGCAAATTATTTTTTTTAATTTTTCAAAGTCGGAATATTTCGGAAATAATTCCAGACTCTTCCCAGAAAGTAATGGTCGGTGTCTCCAGGCGCTGCAGCGTCAATGACGTCATACTGCTTTGTCGAAATCGTAGACACCTTGTGATCACCATTCGGACAAGTGTTAGCTTCTAGTCATTATGTAGAGCAAGTTGTTGCCGACGTTGCCGACGTGCAAGTAGAACGATTGGCCTCGGGCTTGACGCCATTGGCCACTTTTGTAATTTTATATCCGTATGGTCTCCTCAGCTAGCTTCTGCTGCTATGCCCTTTCCCCCTTCTCCGAGTGGCGTCAACTGTGATATACATGCGTTATACTTGTCTGTAGATATGCCTGTTGTCTGTTGTCACAAGGGACCAAATAAAGTTATACTTTAAATGAATGTTCTATTTGTCACTTTATAAGCCTACATCTTGTATTCTCATCATGAGGTCAATGTTTCTGCACTTGTAGTCTCCGTTCGCTTTTAGCAATATTCCAGCAATATCACGGCGGGGGACACTAGAAATGGGCTTCACACATTGTACCCATGTCGGGAATCGAACCCGGGTCTTCGGCATGACGAGCGAACGCTTTAACCACTAGGCTACCCGACCGCCCTAAAGGGACTCAGGACACACGGCGCGGGACCCCCGGTCACACTCTTGGGCAATGCCTACCAGTGTCACTTGCCCACTTACTCACTCACCCAACCACTCACTCACTCAAGGAAGGTGTAAATTTCAACTTTGTCCACCTACCTGGACAGTGTGGATCATTTTTCACAAATATCAATGACTGGATTGTCTGGTCCAGACTCGGTTCTATCTGAGTGGAATATTGATGAGGGCAGCTTGGAATTTATTTTTCTTGATGTGACAAAAATGTAACTCACTTTTACATTCATGAACTTGATACAAAACAGTGATTACATTCGATACAGCTCTTGGGTTATGTTTAATTCACTTCTCTGGAAAATGTAAAAAATCATACAATGTATTTCAATCTGAGTTTTTCAATTTTATTTAAATTATTTTTATTTTTATTCATCAGTACTTCCACAGTGAGAATGATAAAGGAGCGGAGTCTGTCAGAATGTTGAAACATAAACAAAGAAAATATTATCGAGACATTTTATCGGAAAGAGAAATTTATAATGCAAATCCCAAATGTCTTTCTCTTCCCTTTGCTCTTCATCAATCATCTTCTCCCTCATCTTCAGCAGGATTGATCGCAGTTTTCCCCATCACTGTCGGCAGCGTGAACATGACAGGGATGGAGTGTACAAATGGCGTTTTGTATGCACTCCCAGTGCCACTACGGGAGCTCATGTTGAGAATGTAAATCATCTGTGAGGTATTCTGAAGTAACAGCTCTCTACTTCATTACAATACATGTACCCGTAAAATCCAGGTTGGCATTGGTCTTCGGCAACCCATGCTTATCTCCCCCTTGGAAGATCGGGGTTGGCATTGGTCTTCAGCAACCCATGCTTATCTCCCCCTTGGAAGATCCGGGTTGGCATTGGTCTTCAGCAACCCATGCTTATCTCCCCCTTGGAAGATCGGGGTTGGCATTGGTCTTCAGCAACCCATGCTTATCTCCCCCTGGGAAGATCGGGGTTGGCATTGGTCTTCAGCAACCCATGCTTATCTCCCCCTGGGAAGATCGGGGCTGGCATTGTTCTTCAGCCACCCATGCTTATCTCCCCCTTGGAAGATCCGGGCTGGCATTGGTCTTCAGCAACCCATGCTTATCTCCCCCTTGGAAGATCCGGGCTGGCATTGGTCTTCAGCAACCCATGCTTATCTCCCCCTTGGAAGATCCGGGTTGGTATTTGTCTTCAGCAACCCATACTTATCTCCCCCTGGGAAGATCCGGGCTGGCATTGGTCTTCAGCAACCCATGCTTATCTCCCCCTTGGAAGATCCGGGCTGGCATTGGTCTTCAGCAACCCATGCTTATCTCCCCCTTGGAAGATCCGGATTGGTATTTGTCTTCAGCAACCCATGCTTATCTCCCCCTGGGAAGATCCGGGCTGGCATTGGTCTTCAGCAACCCATACTTATCTCCCCCTTGGAAGATCCGGGCTGGCATTGGTCTTCAGCCACACATGCTTATCTCCCCCTGGGAAGATCCGGGTTGGCATTGGTCTTCAGCAACCCATGCTTATCTCCCCCTTGGAAGATCCGGGTTAGAATTTGTCTTCAGCAACCCATGCTTATCTCCCCCTTGGAAGATCCGGGTTGGCATTGGTCTTCAGCAACCCATGCTTTTCTCCCCCTGGGAAGACCCGGTTTAGAATTTGTCATCAGCAACCCGTGTTTGTCGTAAGAGGAGACTAATGGGATCGGGTGGCCAGACTCGCTGACTCTTTGATGCATGTCATTATCCCATCGAAGCTCATGATGTCAATCACTGGATTGTCTGGTTCAGACTCAACTATTTATTGTTATCACATAGAGTGCGGCCTTAAACAACAAACAAACAATATATCTTATTTTGTATAATGGAATTATATTGATTCTTTAATCGAAAACCAGAAAAGACCGAATTTCCCGACACATTAACGTTCATGAAAGATTCAGAGATTTCAAAGGCTAACATATACACAGCTAATCTCGTTCTACTAAGTTCTATGAGAATCACGTGTTTCACTCGCTACGGTCTCTCTCTGACGTCACGCATGGTCTAACGGAGCATACACCCACTCAATGTCCCTGCACAACGTAAATATGTCACAATGTTTCTGTATATAGCTAGATGTATATCAAATTTCTCTACATTTCCGAAAATCAATCATGAAAACCACATTTTATACCTTTCCAACATACAAACATATATGTCTTCAGTGTCAAGCATTTGTGCATCTGGTACATCTGTTGCCTTTATGTAAAACACTGCTAATAATGCCATCATTGCTGTTGAACATTAAAACATACAATGTCACAATTACATATGAAACATACCTCGTCTTATTTCCCCATTCCAAACATTTGTTTTATTATTTTCTACACAACATACATACAAACATCACACGACACCATTTACACTGGTATCATACATGTGTCCTGCTGTAATCGTTCGACAATGTGGGGCACTGGTGGCAGAGTCGTCTGAGGCGCTGCAATTTGCTGTGCAGAGTTGCCTCCCTTGGGCAGTAAGAAAAACTGTAATTGTAGGTTCGAATTCCGGTTCGCCCCGATTATGTTTCTAGGTTTGTCAGCACCATACCCACGCTCGTGGGTTAAACCTCTGAGACCTGCATCACTTTAAGCAGACCCCACCTGATATACCTGGAATTCTGTTCAAAGCGGCGTTGAACTCAACTCACTCACTCGACAATATGGAGTGACCAGACAGTCATGGTATGATACCAGTTGTATATTTCGGGTTAATCAGTTTCTCAATATGCGTCAGGAGCTATTCCGTTACAGAGATGGGACAGTGGTGTGGCCAGTGTGTACCATCATCTAACGTCCATATCCAAACAGTGCATTGACAGCCCTATTAACATTGCGCCCGTAATGAGCATCAGTGTTATTATTCCTCCATGGAGACTGAGGGCAAGGACCAGCTGTGCCACCTGGTAGTCTAGTCAACTGGTGGAGTCGCCGTAATGAGCATCAGTGTTATTATTCCTCCATAGAGACTGAGGGCATGGAGACAGTGGTGTGGCCAGTGTGTACCATCATCTAACGCCCATATCCAAACAGTGCATTGACAGCCCTATTAACACTGCGCCCGTAATGAGCATCGGTGTTATTATTCCTTCATGGAGACTGAGGACAAGGACCAGCTGTGCCACCTGGTAGTCTAGTCAACTGATGGAGTCGCCGTAATGAGCTTCAGTGTTATTATTCCTCCATGGAGACTGAGGGCATGGACGAGCTGTGCCACCTGGTAGTCTAGTCAACTGATGGAGTCGCCGTAATGAGTATCAGTGTTATTATTCCTCCATGGAGACTGAGGGCAAGGACCAGCTGTGCCACCTGGTAGTCTAGTCAACTGATGGAGTCGCCGTAATAAGCATCAGTGTTATTATTCCTCCATGGAGACTGAGGGCAAGGACCAGCTGTGCCACCTGGTAGTCTAGTCAACTGATGGAGTCGCCGTAATGAGCTTCAGTGTTATTATTCCTCCATAGAGACTGAGGGCATGGACGAGCTGTGCCACCTGGTAGTCTAGTCAACTGATGGAGTCGCCGTAATGAGTATCAGTGTTATTATTCCTCCATGGAGACTGAGGGCAAGGACCAGCTGTGCCACCTGGTAGTCTAGTCAACTGATGGAGTCGCCGTAAAGAGCATCAGTGTTATTATTCCTCCATGGAGACTGAGGGCAAGGACGAGCTGTGCCACCTGGTAGTCTAGTCAACAGATGGAGTCGACCAATTAACCAACATACAAGGCCCACGACACCAGAGCGAGAACCACGCACAAGGGAACAACGCCATACAAGCATTGGAAATATTAAGCTACATCGAAGTACCTTTCATTTTGCTGTACTCATAATCCTCAATTTTAAATTGTGCGAGTGGCGGGTGCTACCGGCAGGGCTTTTCGCGAACACCGGGACTCGTCACATATTTTCTCTGATCCATTCCTATAATTTTCACCGCTCTTTTGCCTTTTGATAGAGTCTCATTATTCTCTGACGTTTGACATTTATTTTTAGTCAATATGAATTAACAATTCACACAACATAAATCTATTAACCAATCTATCATGCGGCGAATAAAATAACATATCCTAATTGGATTGACATTTAATATTTAGTCAATATGAATTAACAATTCATGCAATATAAATCTGTTAACCAAGCGTTCATGCAGTGAATAAATAAACATAAACCTGTGTGGGGAATAACGTTTTGAGATCACGTGAGGCGCCTCGAAGTTCACAGGTTTGTTTACACGGAACAACACCAATAAAACACAACAGCTATATTCCCTGCAGATCAAAGAGATGGTTTGGAACGGACCATAAACCACCCTTAAAAAATCTTGATGAGCAGTGCGGTTTCAGAGATGTCTATTATGGAGTATTCCTAGATTATTAACGATGTAAAGATCGAAGCATGAGAAAAGATAATAGAAAAAAACATTCAATCAAACATTTTACTGCGTTATTCATATACGTATTCCCATTATTTCAAACATACATGCTAAATAAACTTAATGACAAAATGACGTTTCACTTTGGCGGCCATGTTTGAACCGAATCGGAATTGGCTGACATAATTGCTTGGATTCTATAGGACAAAACCACAACCTTTAGGCCTTGTGTCAAGGAAATTCATTATCGCCATAGTAATGTGCATGAAGGTTAAATTTCATAGCAGGATCCAATACAAAACTGCACACACACCCGTTTTATGTATACTCAACAACAAAAGTTCCTGT